TCTGCCTTTTATAAACTGATCATACTGTGTATTATATGGTACCAAGTCAGTCCAAAAAACTCAACTGTCAAAATAGCAGCACTGTATAGTAGGTCAACTGTGAGAAATATAAGCAGGGGTAAATATCACTGAGTCACTTTGGATTTGTAATAATCACCAACATGCTGAGATCTGTTCTTGGTGTTTGTTTTTATTTTAGCTCAGTCTGCCAGTGTACACCCTCTCTTGGATTTCAGATTCTGATTAAGCTGTGATGCTTTTCCGTTTTATCATAAGTGATACTTTTTTAACAACACTGGCGCACTGCTGAGAGTATTTTTTCCTTTCAGTGGAAGAGCAATGGCTATATGAAGACAAATATTTCTTTGGGTATAAGATATCCCAGCGGTATAGGATATCCCACAGGCACAGTTTTAAAGTAACTAAGCTTTACCTAGAAAGAGCTGAAGCATTCACAGACATCTGAACATCTTTACAGCAGTGTTAAAGCAAAGCATAGGCCAGAACAGAGAAACGTCAAGCTATGATAGAAGATAGAAGGTTAGTGTATCCACTGTCTTTATTTGCAGGACAAAAGCTCCATTTGTACACGAGTTAAAGAATCTCATTTATTAATGAAAGGATCCCCATTGAGTTTTTTTTCTTTTCAGTGGTATATTCAGGCCTTCTAATCCATCTCCCCTCTCCTCTGTGACAGCATGGGGGCAGGCAGGACCGGCTGCTACATCGTTCTAGATGTCATGTTGGATATGGCTGAGTGTGAAGGAGTGGTGGACATCTACAACTGTGTTAAGACCCTCTGCTCACGTCGCATCAACATGATCCAGACTGAGGTGAGTGGGAGAGTGGAAATGTGGTTAGAGATACCATGCTGATGGCTTTAACAGAAGCTCACAGGTTTAGCCTTAACAGCAGGAAGCTGCTGGTGGCCCATATTTTCCATCTTTTGTATTTTTTCCTTCCCCCCTAACCCTAACCCTAACCCATTTACATCAGAACTGTATTCTTTTCAATAAAGGTGAGACTCCGAAACAGCATTCAGGTGAAGGTAGAGGTGTTCACACACAGTCTTTGATGTAACAGTTGAGATATAAATCCCAAAAGGTTAATTCTGTTCATCTGGACCTGGCGTTTTCAGTGGGATTTGCATATTAATGATCAGACCTCGCAGCCCATTGTTCCTTCAGTGGGCTGGTTTCAGTCATTGTGCAAATGTACTGTTTATGAGGTTGGGGAAACCTGCAGTCAGCTGAGACTGAAGAAGTCACCTGGATGAGTGACGAAACGTTTCTCCCAATGAAAACGCTACATCCAGATGAACAGAATCAACCTTTTGGTATAAAATTTTCTAATGTTTGGTGGTAGCATGTCATATATTAAGACAGCAAACTGAGGCTATGTCCACACGTACCCGGGTATTTTTGAAAACGCAGATTTTTCTATGCGTTTGCACCTTTCGTCCACACGTAAACGGCGTTTTCGGTCACTGAAAACGGAGATTTTTAAAAACTCCGGCCAGGGTGGATATTTTTGAAAACTCTGTTTTTGCATTTACGTGTGGACAAGAAAAACGGAGAAAACGGAGAAAACGCAGCGTCAAAGGTGTGCGCATTTTTTGACGTCACACTGTGCGCCACGTTATTGTTTCGGTGAAATAAATTTCTACAATACTATTACCGTTACTTGTACTCTCTGCAGTGTTTAAATGCTTACATATACACACAGTTACTGTCCCTCCACGCATACGACTTGGTTCTGCTTCTATGCCCCATCTTTGTTTGCTATTTCCCACCGAGGCTTTTAGACTTCTGATTGGCCAACATTTCTGCACGGTTAGGAATATAGCGCCACCTGCTGCTTTGGCATGCAGAAAAGGGACATGTACGTGTGGACGTAGCCTGAGTTGAAAAATCCAATTTTATCAGTTAGAAGTCACCTTAAACGGTGATGATTATGAATACCGCCTATAAGTAGTAAATATTTACCACAATTAGTTCATGAACATAAATCATTTTTGTTTCAAATGTAATATTAGTTATTGATAGAACACTGTAAAGCTGCCTAACTTTACAAATTACAAATTGTTTTTTCATTTCATTTCCTTTTTTTTCTACAATAGTGCTGATTGAGGCCAAACTGACAAAATGGGCGATGGGTCATGGGTCTTAATCTTTGAATTCAGGTGTTTTCAGTCATTGCAACAGCTCAAATTAAGTGATTAACCATGCTGTCTGACATTTATAAAAATATGGGGAAGAATTTGTTTTTTAAAGAAGAAAGAAAACTTGTAAATGACGGTTAATATGAAGAAGTAAAGTAAGTAAAAAGCCACCTTCAAGGCATTGCTGTATATATATTATAGCTCTGATTTATTTCTATAAAATACTGTCCGACCAACTTTTGAGACAACGGAGCCAAATGTAGGGAAATGATGTATACACATACACCCATCTGTTTATATATTTATTTAATTATGTAAATGCACAACTTATTGTCTTTGACTAATTATATTATCTGTAACTGTTTCATGCAAAAACGATTCTACACTGAATATATATTTAAAAATGTAATTATGTTGAATTAGCAAAGACGCAGCTACATTATTGTAGAAGACCAGTGTCAGACTTCTTTTATTAAAGACAAATAGCATTCATTCATTTCCTAAAATCCTTGCTTTAATTGTATAAATAAACTCACAACTCACAGTTTTTTTAATTCAAAGTGTGCTTAGAGTGAACTCACAATCTTCAAATACATAAGCGGGAGAAAGACATTAATTACCGCAATAAATAAAACTATTAAAAGTTGGAACGTCATTCTCTTCTTAATAAGTCGGGAATAGGAGACGGCACAGTAAATACACAAACAATAGTATTTATTTCCCTTTAATTTCATCTCTTCTCTTAGCTGCAGCTAGTCTACCAGTTAAATATGAGTACAATTATAGAGCATATTAAAAATGATAAATAAGTTGGAGGAGGGACAGTTTTATGTCTGTAATTCTGAATGTATCCTCAGCTCTTTGATCTGTTGTTTTGTTGAACATCAAAACAGATTTCCTAGTTTCCTCGTTAATTGCACAGCTCGTGACTTTTTTTAAATGGTGTGTGTGGGCAGTGTTTAGCTCCTCTGATGTGTGTTTGCTGGACTTTTTTTTTACCCCATTTTATGGACACTTTTTTCTGCTTGGAAACAATACCCGAGTGTCGGCATGGTAATGTGAAGAGTATTGAACAGCTCTGACTGTTAGTCAACAGCATTAATTAAATTCAGCATTGTTTTTGACGAGTGGGCAATTAACAGCGAGGGCGCTCTTTGGTGAGACGGAGGGGTTTTATGTGACTTGGGAAAAGTGGGAATGCGTTACCCTCTGTGTGTGTTTCAGGAACAGTATGTTTTCATCCACGATGCCATTCTGGAGGCTTGCCTGTGTGGAGAGACTGCCATCCCTGTGACTGAGTTTGCTCTCACTTACAAAGAAATGCTAAAGGTCGACTCACAGAGCAACAGTTCGCAGCTGAAGGAGGAGTTTCAGGTAATACTGAGAGACGATGACAGTTTAAGTCGGGGATTGTGATTACTGTCGTCGTTTTTCCATTTCAAACTGGGGTAGAGTTAAAAATTCACATGTTATGCATGTTGTGAAATCAGCTGAATCACAGCAAATCAGCACTTTTTACTTTTTTGTTGTCTACAGAGGCACATATTTGCTGAATCTGTGTTCTGGATCCTTTTCTCACCTAAATCAGTTCAACAAATGAATATTCAAATGGCAAAAAAACAAAACAAAACACCCATAAAGATTTAAACCCACTTAGAAGTTGGAAAAAAAGACACCTCTGAACTTGCCTGAGAATCTTCACACTTTAAATTACTTATTAAAAGTTAAAAATATCACAAACTCCAATGGAAGGTGTCTGAACACTCACTACCACATTCCCAAACAGAAAACACTTGATTTTTGTATCAGTCGAACAAACAGCTCGTATGCATCCTCGATCGTCCAGGTGAGGGAATCCCAGAAAGTCAGTTCTGTTCATCTGGACGTCATGTTGATGTGCGAAATCACTCAGTCATCACTAGAAGCTTTACGTTAGAGATTGAAATCCACATTGTGTATTTGTTCTTTATGTAGTATCGTTGCTTTTCTTTATACATGTGTTATTGATCGGTGACCTTTGTGTAGCGGCTCCCCGCTCATAACGGCAACTTGTTCCCCAAATGCAATATTATGGTTACAAGTTCTGTTCATTTTATCTAAACCAATGGGGCATCATTCACAATGCTATCTGGCAGCCTAGATAATCGCTCCCTTTCAATTTCCAATTCCTTGATAATGTGCTTTTTGTAGTGTATTAGATTGCAATAAATGTGTTTTTATCTATTAAACCCTGTGGGGGTTTAAACTGATAATGAATGTGTTTTAAAGTTTTCTAAGATAGGTATGCTTGTCAGGTATTGACAGTGAGGCTGCTTGAGCCGAGAACATTTTCATTGCCTCTGTCAATCCCTCTTTGATCCCATTTCTGTTTCGCTGCGTCTGTCTCCTCTTATCACAACCTTTATTCTTAGTGTTTCATTTTATCTCCCAATCTAGAATGTGGAAACATTCTCAAACACACGCCCGTCTTTCTAATTATCTTCTCTGCACACTCCTTTCTCCTTTACCTTCCCCGGTCCTCCTCCTCAGACTCTGAACTCTGTGACTCCTCACCTGGATGTGGAGGAATGCAGCATCTCCCTGATGCCCCGAAACCGTGAGAAGAACCGCAGCATGGATGTGCTGCCCCCGGACCGCTCGCTGGCCTTTCTCGTGACCACAGAGGGAGAGAGCAGCAACTACATCAATGCAGCGCTCGCAGACAGCTTCCTCCGGCCTGCTGCCTTTGTGGTGACGCCACACCCGCTGCCCGGCACAACCACCGACTTCTGGAGGCTCGTGTATGACTACGGCTGCACCTCTGTGGTGATGCTCAATCAGCTCAACCAGTCCAACTCAGCCTGGGTAAGAGAAAAGAGACTGAGACTGAACCGTTCACACATATTATGGAAGGGGAAGTAATTTTATTATTAGCTTAAGTTCTAATATCTAACTCATCAGCTTACATCAGCGATTAAGTCTCACTGTCTGAGAACATCTGCAGTACAGCAGGATTTTGATTAATCCATACAGTTGCATACTCTCAAATATACATATTACTCCAATACTGAATTTTCTTTTTACCTGAATACAAAAAAACCCTTTTATGTCCAAAAACAGAGGCATTTGGCTTTATGCTTTATGTTTATCTATATAATTTATCTTTTGTTTTCTGTTATTCAGCACAGTCAGGTTTAACTGCTGCCACCAGTGCAGCTTTTACCCTGTGAAATGTATTTATTATCTAAAGAAGATGCAGGGTCAGAAGAATGCCAGAACCAATTTTCTACCACTTCCAAGCACTGCAAGGCAAGCACTAAGTTGAAGAGCAGAGAAAAAGAACAGAAAAAAGCGACGTAACCTAAAGTGCTGTCAAGCTCCCTTTTAAGTCTGCTTGCAAGGAGCATTTCCTCCAACCTCAGAAATCAAGCAGCAGAGATGAGGAGCACTTTTGCTGTTATATATAAGAGAGAAACATTTCTATTTCAGATACTGCAATTCGAGGACCTTGGCCACCTTGTTTTCCAAACGAAATTTTTAAAAGATGCATCAAAGTATAAAACATTTACATCATTCAGAAAAAAAATCAGTGGATGAACTTAATTTGGGTTGTGAAAAGCATTTTTGCTTTGATAAATAATTCTAACAGACACTCTTGTCAAAATTCAAGCATATCAGCGTCCAGCCAGTGCATGCAAACTGTCATTCCCAATTTTATTGGATTGGGCTTTTTAGTGAGGCCAAGGCTGCCGTATAATTTTTTTAAACTCTTTCATGTCACTGTAATGTCATCAATTGTATTTAAAGCTGATCACACCATGAATAAAAAGCTACGTGTAGAGCTAAAACAACCCGAGGTGTCCTGGAGATTGGAGCAGCACATCCAGGTTCTTTCCGCTGGGAGCTTTTGAAGAGATCATTTTACCCTACAAAGAAATTAGTGCTCGTGGGGTTTAGAAACTTTTAAGGTGGCCTTTGAAGTAGTATGCCAGAATTTTCTGCTCTGTGCTGTGCCTATATTAGGTTCAGCATACGACAACAAGGATAGGCTCCAGCCCCCTGTGACCCTGAATTAGATAACAAAGTGGATGAATTGATCAAAGTTCCTCAAAAGGTTTCCAGTCTTAACGTCCTAAGACCCAAACCCTTTCATGGCATGCATTTTAAATTTTTCTTTGCTATTTGGGCTGATTGGGACCTGATGATTGTAAAAACAAAGAATTACCTGATTATTTTCTTTTACCTGATTTTTGTTTCTGAGAAAAATTAGATCCACATATAAGAACATTCATTTTAAATTTTGATAGAACATTGGCAGAATAATGTCCTTGTAAGTGGATATCAGGCCCTTGTAGAGCAAAATTTAGTATTTTGGTCTAGACAACCCAAAATGGGATGTCCACACATGTGGACACCAGGTCCTAGGAGGTTAAGAGCAGGTTCCCCCCAATGCAATATAAGACAAGCTGAGGAAAAAACTGTTTGATCAATGGCTCAGTATCACTAGAAAAAAATAGGATGTCAACCTTCTTGCATCTAGAAACAATTGGTTGTTACACTGAATTTCTTTGCTGTCGGAGACCAATTGCAAGTAGTTGCAGTGTCCAGATATGGAGCATTTTGCCTGCTCAAACTCTGGGTGACCATTTTCGATTGTAAGGCTGGTGGCCTGGTGGGAGGCCATCTGACTCTAAAGAATCCAACTTGACTGACTGAAATTACTCTCAAGCAGGTTTGCAAATAATTATCATCTAGTTTAGAAATGCAGACAGACTGCAGTCATTCTGAGTTCATCTGCACTGATGAGTACAACTCATCTGCAACACGTCTCTTTGCAGCAGCAGACTTGACTCAACTGGTTGCCAGATTTTTGTTTTCCAGTGAAAGCGAGGTTGCCTGCTGCCTGTGTCATTTTGCAGTTAAATCAGTCCCACAGCACCGATATTATGATTTGCGGAGGAAATTCGGAGTGTAGCATGAGGGGAGCATGAAAAGTGCCCCTTTTCAAACCTCTTTCAGGACCTTTTAGTTTTTCCTACTCTTTTGTATTTCCTTCTGAGCGGACCTGAAAAACTGCTGGCCATAGCTCATTCGTTTAATGGCATAATTTGTCACTTTCAAATAAAATGAATAAATAGATAAAAAAACAATAAAGTCACCTGTCAAAAGAAAGACAAAATATTCTCTCTGAGTAGCATTCAGATAAATACAATAAACAGGAATGCTGCAATCAGCTCTATCAATTCCATTTGTTAATGACATCACAAACTAAAACTCGATGATTGCTTATATCGATATACAAATATAATGATTTTTTTTTTACTGTTTAAAAATGAGCACTGCTAAAACTGAAATCACAGAAATATAGTGTTTGTCATTTTCTGTGCTGACACTCCTTATATTGTCAGCTAATAAATAAAAAGAACATGTATCCATAAAACAGGCTCCAGCACTACTTGTAGTCACAGCTTGGAAGCCTGTATTTAAAAATCTTAGCAAAACAAAGATTACTGCTTACAAGGCTTTCTTTTTAATATAGTGCATGGACACTAACAGCGTCAACATGTCATTCTTATCCTCATTTCCTTTAAAAGAAGATATGAATGTGAGTCACACACAGTTTGGAGAGGTCATCTGCACAAAGCTTCAATCCTCTGTTCATGCCATCCAATTCATTTGCACAGCCCGTCACTGCAAGAACACGTTCTTATCGTTTGGGCCCATGTTTGCTCATGCGTGGGTTTGTTCTGCTGTCTCGCTATCGCTCCTCTGTCACCGTGTCATGTCTTGTTCCTGCTCACCATTTCCACTATGCCTGTCAGCTGCAACCTGTCCTTTTTTCTCTGTCACTCTCTTCTTCTTCTTCGTCTTCCTCCTTGTCTCACTACCAGTGGATTAACAGTTTGACCCTCCAACACACACTCACTCAATTTGTCCTCTTAACTTGGAGCTGCCTGTCTCCTGCCTGGATGTATAAATATTTATCGCCCCTCCTGCCCAATGTCACCGGTTAATACCCTTCTGTCAGTGTGAAATGCCGTTATCACTTCCTACTCTAAGGATCTGCTCAACCCCAAAGTCACTGCAGAATACGTCCATATGACAGCGCTTGCTCCCCTGTGTGTGCCCCCCCTCCACTCCCACTTGGCCAGGGGATGCGCTTTTGAAGTGGCAGTGATAGGAGACCTTGTCTTTTGTGAGCGTCCAACCTCTCAGCTAACTTCCTGTTTATCTCTCCCGGGCACAGCCAAGGTCTCTTACTCCATTAATTTATAATGTACTAATGGTAATGATTGGGACTCATGAATAATTCAAGCTAGGTGACCGCTGCTTATGTGAAGGATTGTTCCCGCTGA